CCCCAAAACCCCAAAACCCCAAAACCCCAAAACCCCAAATCTGAAAAACATTATTGTACAAATTATAATAAAATATTTAACAGGAGGGCCCTCTTCAAGAACACTCTAGAGTCAATCTGAAAGAAACTTCCAAGATAAAGAAAGTGTCATTGGTCAAAGACTCAAATCAGTCATTATCATTAAATGTTCCGACACCATTAATGGAAAGTTTTCCTATTCAAAAGTATTTCAAGAGCATTTTCGAAAATAAAAAGTCAACATATTGAAGGAATCTCCAAATCAATGAAAATGATTTCTTCTTCTCCAATGAATCAAGATATCAAGATTTTTAAGTAGGAACTAATTCTGGAAGAAACTCAGTTTGTCATATTTTCACAGCTGATTTATACATGCAAAGAAAAATGCCTACAGAAGTGTCAGAAGCAGGAGAATTAATCATTCCTCACCTTATACAAAGGCCTATAGGGAAGTATTAACTCAGGAGTTACAAGAATGCTTAGGGATTATATTAGTGGAGAAGATCCCAAATAAGGAATTTATTAATTAAGTGAGAAAGAAGTAAATGCTCTCAGAAGATCATTTACTAGCATTTATAAGAGAGGAGCCACTGGTCTTGCTTATCCAACCAATTATAGTCTCTCCTTATTTTTAGTCGATGAGATTGATGAAATAACTGATGGTTATGACAAAATAGTTTCCGTGCATAATAAATTTGCTAATGCTGGAACTTTCAAAAGTCATAGAATAGAGTTAATGACTTAGAAGATATTAGCCAAGTGTATGAAATTCCAAAAACTTTATGGAATGGAAAAGTTAGATGCTACTACTGTTTTACCGATTTTGTATGAGATCTACATTTCTTCCAATCTCTACTATGCATAATTATAGAATTCAGTTTGTAAGCAGTCATCTAGAATGGTTGCATTGAATAATATTTCCAAGAATGCTTGAGAAATGCTCGTAAAGCTGGTATTCTTACTTCACAAACAAGACAGTAATCAATCACCTTTGAGTTGTGTAAATTTATTACTGAAGCATTAAAATCATCCTAGTCTTTATCTGAAATAATATTTAAATTGAGCTTGGTTCAATATTACAAATCTGAAAAGGGGTTTTGGGGTTTTGGGGTTTTGGGGT